GACACTGCAAATGAGAAGAATGCAAATTCTAGTTCACTTTTACTTTGGATTTCACTTCAATTCAGGTTTGATTTTCTTCTGAAATGCAAACAAACAAACAAAATAAGGCAAAGGCTGAACAAAAATAAGAATTACTAAAAAAAATGAAAATCATTTGCACTTCCTATACTTTTACATCGGTGCAAATGGAATTGCGCTGCAAACAAACTAGCATTTGTTTCAGGTTTTATTTTGCTTTATCTGCATTTCAAACAAACAAAATGAAGTGAAGCTGTGAAGCCTAAATAAGTAGTAGAAGAAAATTTGCACTAAACTCATTTTTACTCCTATACTTCTACTCCAATTAATACAAATGAAATTGCACCGCAAACAAATGAGGCGTTAGGTGCAGTGCAGCTGTAAAAGGCTCTACAGAGACACTTGAGGTTCTGAAAGGTCCTACAAGGCGTGAAAATCTTAGACATGACAGCATAAGAGGAGCCGGAAAGGGCTCTTCATTGACAATTATAAATGATCTAAAAGGTCCTAAATGTATGATTTGAAAATCTTGCACATGGAGCTGGAAAATGATTTGAAAATCTTGTGGTGATATCACAATATAAGTGGACAAAGGGATCTTCTTACTGCACTGCTTACTAAGGCTGTTTTTGGTTTGATAGAAAACAAAAGAGATAAAGAAAGTTGAGGGCGTAAAATTCCTCGAATTTGCAATGCAAATTTGAATTAATATAAATTTTGTAACTTGTTCAGTTTGTAACTATGATTTGTAGGCCTAGACAAGGGTGGGTGCGAGTTGAACCAAGCCAAGCTGAGCTGAACATCAACATATTTGAAATCGGCATGACAGAAAAGCATACGGCTCAAGTTCAGGTTCAAGCTTGAGTACTCAAGTAGAAATATTAGATCAAATTCGGTTCATCTCAAAAGTTTTTTTGTTTGAATTTAGGCTTGAATTCAACAGTGAGTCTAGCTTCATATGAAAATTTAAAATTATACATGTAAAAAGTTATTTCTATCGAGCTAAACTCGAATAGTCGAGAAGCTTATATATATAATCAGTTTATATGTGCCAACCAGTTGGCCAGCTGGGGTGTTATGTTTGAACTCGCAACTCAGGTTCAGTTTGGAAGGATTACAAATACGAATATATACAGTGCAAAATCTTATATTTTAAACTATTTTATTTGTATTTATATTGTATATATTTACATTTTTACTCTTTCCAAACTGAGTCAAGCACAAGACCTCCATAAGCTGAGTTTCATGTTATTTGAGATCAGCTCAATTAGGAATTAAGTCTATATATTGGTCTCAAGCTCAGCTTGAACCTCTATTTAGACTGAATCAAATCAAGCTGTTCAAAAACCGAGTGTGAATGACTCACAAATAGCTTGATTTGTGCCCAGCCCTACCTGATACAAAATTTGGATTTTTCTTTGATGTATTCATTGGCAGTGCAAATTTTGCATCTCCAAAACTGATGTAAAATTTACACACCTTGCCTCCTACCTCAATATTTGAATTATTCGAATTTGATTCGATTATATCGAATCTCAAATTCGAAAATCAGTTTTTTGAATATAGTTAAAACCCTTAGAAAGCAAAATGCAAAAAGAAAAAAAAAACAATTTTCAAATATAAAAATGTCCACTTCAACAGTAAGTTTTACCGTATATCAAAATCTTTCCCATTTTGCTTGGGAAACCTATTTTACCCATGGGAAAATACAACCTAAATTTTAAACTATTATTATTATTATTATTATTATTATTATTATTATTATTATTATTATTATTATTATTATTATTATTATATATGTCGAATTGAATAAGGTCATATTCGAATTTGACCGATTCAATATTTGAATTATTTGAATTTGATTTGATTATGTCGAATCTCGAATTCGAAAAATCGGTTTTTTTAATATAGTTAAAACCCTTAGAAAGCAGAATGCAAAAAGAAAAAAAAAAAACAATTGTTAAATATAAAAATGTCCACTTCAACGGTTCATAAGCTTTTTTTTTAGTAATACAACAGTTTAGAAGCTCACCACCTACGCATTTGCAAAAGGATAAAAAATAGGCATTCCGCTGATAATATTGCTCCTAAAAGTTTTACCATATATCAAAATCTTTCCCATTTTGCTTGGAAAATCATCATCATCATCATCATCATCATCATCATCATCATCATTATTATTATTATTATTATTAGGGTAAATTATAAAGACCCCCTTACTTTGTTTTGCAGCAAATACCCCGTGAGACAAAGACCCCCTTCTGTTAGTCTTTCATCCAAAAAGGCCGTTACAATATTTTTTAATCTCTATATTATCCTCGGACAGTGCACTAATCTCATCTACCTCGATTTTTTTCAAATTTCTCTCTCCCAGATTTTTTCAAATCCAGAGTGCACTATTCATGATACACTAACAGATCTGGAGGATAAAAATCCGGTACAAATTAGCGGCCTTGTGGTGTGAAGTATAGTCACAAGTTCAATTTCGAACTATGGCCTGGTGGATACACTCCCCTAAGAAACGCATAAACAGCATACGCGTTGGGCTCATTCAAGCTACTCCACAACTTCACCCGATCCCCGAAGCTCCTAAAACAGATTTCTGCAAAATACACAAAATCTTCCCTACAACAATAAGCACCAACAAAATCAAAGTCCCATTTTCTATTTCCAGTCAAGCTCTCTTTACGATTTCATCACAAGATTTATGACAGTGAGACACAAACGCAGACTTCCCCAGAAATTTGTGTTTTATAATTCATAAAATCTAAACTAGATTCAGATAATTAGAGAAACAAATGTTCATGGGCTTACTGTATTAGAGGGCTCAGCCATCCCCATATCTGTCCTCCAGTTCTTGTGGCAGGTCGTACTGATACAAGGTCACAAACGGTTCGGTCCCTGCTGACACAAGCCTAAATTTGTTACAGACGATAAGAGGAACACAGGAGTCTAGGAGATTGTCTATCAGAGCAGATTTGGTTAGAATTAAATTCCAAGTCTCTGACTCACCTCTCATAAGAGGTTGCTTAAGATACTGTTATAGAACGCGATCCCCGTAGGATTAACGTCTCCAAACCTCCCTCCTACAGCATACTAGCAGCTTAGTTAAATGGGATTTATCATTTGTGAAGAAGGTGCACATGATTTATCATTTATGAAGAAGGTGCAGCTTGTCTATGATACTGTTATAGAACGCAATCCCCGTAGGATTCACGCCAGTGCACTCCAGATTTTTATCCTCCAGATCTGTTAGTGTATCATGAACATAGCACTCTGGATTTGAAAAAATTTGGGAGAGAAAGAGAAGGAGAGAGAAATTTGACAGATGAAATTAGTGCCGCTAGTATTAGTGTATGAGGCCGGGGAAGATGAACAGTGTTTGTTTGTTCAAGGATAATATTGGGATTAAAAAATATTATAACGGTTTTTTTAAAGGAAAAACTAATGGACGAGGGTCTTTGTCTCACAGTCATAATACAAAGAACGTATTTATTGCAAAACAAAGTACAGGGGGTCTTTGTCACAGACCCCAAAATATAGGAGCGTCTTTATAATTTATCCTTATTATTATTATAGTTAACCAATAATGGCATCCTGCAAATCATTTTCTATGATAAAAATAAAGTCCGGATGCTCTTCATAGACCATTCCTTATACCGACTTTACAGCATATATCACACACATTGAACATCTTCCTAAATACACGATGAGATGTGGCTGTGAGATCGGCGTGAGGAGCAGATTCAATTTGTAGAAATAAATGAAACCTGCCATAAAAAACAATTTAATAAAAAAAAGTCATAAAGAGCATGAGACAGGTGAAGGCAATTATAAATTACGACTTACGAGACAGATGGAAGACTGTAAACGTTAAATGCTTTCGGTGGATCTCTGTAGCAGTGTATCCCGTACTGTGTACATTGTCCTGAATTAGTGAATTCCTGACAACAATAATAGTGTTTTTATGTTGGGTTCATAATCACAGCGAAGCACTAATAGAGATAGGCACTGCACAAATTACTACACACTTTAATAGACCATACACAAGCAACTGTTATTTGTTAACTGTTTTCAAATCCATGGACCATAGATTGATTGAAATAGATAATACATATTATATTTATACTATACAAAAAAAAAGAAGCATTAGTTTATACAAAGATTTTCATTCTGAATTCGGACAAACTAGCTGTCGGTGAGAGAATCCAGAAATGAACACCATGCTCCTGGTAACACATTATCATTTCTCCATAAAGACAAGGGGTGATACATGGTTGAATTCGGCTTCAGTCGGGTAATGCCGGTTCTAGCACCCTTTATTACTTTACATATAGAATATTCTCGTAGTATTTGTGTGCTCTATTTCTATTTCATGTGTAAATATTCTCAACGTAAGAATGAAAAGACTGTTAGAAGGGTATGAACACAGTTTTATCATATGATAGAAGCCGATCTCGGAGTGGTTATATAGTTATAACCCTCCGTTTAATGGGTCCCATTCCAGTAGAAAGATCGTGACATCAGTCGTTACTAACGAGTCACGAGAACAAGGGACCCACGCGAAGGAAATCACCTCAGTAGGTCCAACGAAAGTCGAAACGGTGCTAAGTGGAGAAATTGGGATCTGCTCTTCAACAAAGCGCGTCTCATACCGATTTCTAAAATAAGAGCATCTCTCATTAATAATAAATTTAAAGACGGAAGATGTTCTCGATGTGCGGTCAAGACATGCTTGTAAAATCGGTGTAAGGCGCGTATTGTAAATAATTTGTGTTTCTCTGTTACTGTTTAAAACAGGCTTCTCCTAACCTACCATGGCCTGAACGTCCCACGGATTTCTTTTACTTAGAACTATTTTCATAACATCTCTGCTCTTCGTTTTCTCCATTCTAATTTCTATCCATCGTTGTTAAATACATCCTTTTACGTAGAAAAAATAAATAAACACAACAAAATTACATATTTTATTATAAAAAAAGGAAAAAGAAAACTCCCATCCGCGTTTACCTCCACTGTTTCTGTTTCAAGCTGGTTGATAGTTCTCTTCCCTGTTCCCTCCTTTTTCTATCTCTATCTATTCATTATCTCTGTCTGTCCAGCAGAAGGAGTTTCTGTCGTTGTGTTCAATCTTTCAGACCTTTAATTTCAGACAATCTCTCATGAGACTCTACTCGGATCGATGGACGATAATTCCCCGTCGTTTCTTGATCTCCTATTGTCATTAGAATCACGAATGCTCATTTCCATTTCCAGATCTCTGTTCGTCTTCTCTCACCGTCCTCCCTCCATTCATCCTCAGAAAACCTAACCCTGAACCCCGCAGATCCATGCTCTTCCTATAGGAGGTTCGGCGACGTCTCCTCTGCCACGAGCTCCCTTCTTACATATTTGAGAGAAAAAAATAGGGAAACCCAACCCTAGAGTTCAATCTCTTATCCAATGAAGGCCTCGAACCGTTGGTTCACGATCGGGCTCGTGACGGCGTGGTACTCGTCGAACATCGGGGTTTTGTTGCTTAACAAGTACCTCCTCAGCAACTATGGCTTCAAGTATCCGATCTTCCTTACAATGTGCCACATGACAGCTTGTTCGTTGCTCAGCTACGTTGCAATTGCTTGGATGAAGATGGTTCCCATGCAGACCATCCGATCCCGCGTCCAGTTCATGAAGATCGCTGCCCTTAGTCTTATTTTCTGCGCCTCCGTTGTAAGTGGAAATATCTCGCTTAGATTCCTTCCAGTGTCATTCAACCAAGCAATTGGTGCTACTACGCCATTCTTTACAGCCGTATTCGCCTACATCATGACGGTGAAGAGGGAGGCTTGGATCACTTATGTCACCCTCATTCCTGTCGTTACTGGGGTGATCATCGCCAGCGGGGTGAGAGCTCCTCCTTTTTTTTCGATATATCTTTTAATTCATCTTGATGATCCCTGAGGACGGATTGGCCGTCTGAATAGAAAAATGATTTTGGTTTGATGAATTTGAGTTGTTATAGTTGTATTTTTCTATTATGGATTTAAATTATTTGTTTTGGTTACTGAAGAATAATGGTGTCTTAGTCCATCTTACCAACCAAAGAAAAGGGAAAGATAGAGGAGATAAAAACGCACGATGCTAAAATATGAAAGTAAATTGCGTTTTCTTCGCATTTCACGATGTATTTCTTGCTACCAATTTATTAAGTCGTATTAGGATTTCTGCAATTGAACATGGGCATGGGTAGGCCTTGTCAAATAAAGTTTATGTCTTAATTTGGTTGAGGAGCCTTTAATTACTACTTCAGTTCTTTTCCATCTTGTTACTGACACATTTTCTCCATCAATCGATTGGTCATAGATACTGCTTCTTGGCTATTTTCTTATTTTTTTTCTTTTTAAACGGATTCTTTTTTAAAACTCGAAAATTGTTAATCATCATGACTATAGGGTGAACCAAGTTTCCATCTATTTGGGTTTATAATGTGCGTTGGTGCTACGGCTGCAAGGGCACTCAAATCAGTTCTTCAAGGGATTTTGCTCTCTTCTGAAGGGTAATGTTTTGTCATTCTAATCTAAAGTTGTGGCATGAGATTTTGCGTTTCATTTGAAAATATTCTGAAACTGGGTAGCTTTACTGAAATGTTATTCACATTGTCTAGGGAAAAGCTGAATTCTATGAACCTCCTTCTCTACATGGCTCCAATAGCTGTTTTATTCCTTCTTCCTGCAACACTTTTTATGGAGGAAAATGTGGTTGGAATCACACTAGCGCTTGCAAGGGATGATGTCAAGATCATTTGGTATCTTCTCTTCAATTCTGCACTGGCATATTTTGTAAACTTGACCAATTTCTTGGTCACTAAACACACCAGCGCTTTAACTCTTCAGGTATACCCCGTGCCTCCATCTTTCAGATGCATGCTTCTTTCTATATTATAATATTCCCACCAAACTTATTATTATTTTCCCTTAACAAGAGAATAGAACATTTAATGTATCACTTTTTTGTTGTGGGATCTTATGGAATTCTGATCATTATCTGATTGGTTATATGCATGGTGGACCTCGCTACAGTGTTGCATGAAACATTTCCTATCAATGCCTTCCATGTGTGTTTTCTAGGTGATCAGCACTTGTCATGCTTTAGTTGTTATCATGAACACAGTGTTGGTTTGTATTATGATCTGATACATGGGGTAATGATCTTTTTTGTCTTCTTTATCTTTGACCTTGAGCGGTTGTGTTTCTTTGAACACACTCAGCTCTAAGATAGTTACTTCGTACACATGAATTCATGTTATTGGTGGGGAAAGAAGCAAACGGTTTTCTTATGATGAACATCAGACTTTAGAAATGTCTTGCATCATATCCAATGAAGTAAACCATACACAATGGAAAACTTCTAGAATATCTCAAAGTGGATTTGCTATATCTTGGCAAGATCCGTTCTTTTAGGCATAAAAAAAGTTCCATATATTTAATAATTGTGTTTCTAGTGTGATGTAGAGGTAGTTTAGACTGTTTAGTCATCACTACAGGTAGAAGAACTAGTTTGTCTGTATGATAGTCAAGACTCAAGACTAGTATTGCAGTCTTAAAGTTAATTTCTGTCAGGTTTTAAATGTTATACATCCGGCCATTTTAGAGATTTTCTTTTGTGTTCAAAAAGTTTTTTAGTCTAGTAGATTTGGGTTTTGAGTTCCTACCAACACCCCTGTAGAAAGTTGCTCTTTTTGAATATTTTTATTTTATTAGATTTCTCAAATCGTGAGCAAAGAATCCTCTTTTACATTTGTACATGGCAAGAATAATACCTCCTTTGGAGATCCTCTTTATGGAGATTCTTTATATGTGCTATCTTGTACTCGTTGGTTTGGTCCTTCCTTATGGGGACCATCCTAGCAAACCCTTGCCCACTCAACACTACACTCCAGTTAGGATGTGTTAAGGAATGCCAAGAGCCCAAGAATATCAGGCCCAGCTCGAGCCAGGGACTACACCAACCTATTGTATGTGGCATTCTCTCTATCAAGCAAGTTTACAAAAGGTGACCACTTCAACAAGTTGTTAGAGACTCTCAGGAAGAGGGAAATAACAAACATATTGTAACTATCTTATTCAAATCACTACTTTATACATATATTAGGCTGGCCTAATTTGTAGAAAGATTTCGAACAGTGAATTTTCCAATCTCTCTCTCTCTCTCTGAGGTTGGTTTCCCCTTGAAGGAAGCCCTAAGATAGGCAGTGACCTATCAGCTGGCCTAATTTGTAGAAAGATTTTGAACAGTGAATTATCCAAAAACTCTCTTATTCTTCTTTGTTTCCACTTCAACAAACAACTCTCTCTCTCTCTCTCTGGAAGCCCTAAGATAGGCAGTGACCTATCAGCTGGTTTCTGAGCGTGGATCCAGGTCTACTACAAACATGATAACTATGAGATCGATGTTGGTTGAATCCAGAATTGATCAGATCGAGGTCAAACTTCACAAGGTTTCAAGTGATGTCAAAGAAATTAAAGAAGGGGAACTAGGGAAGAATAAGAGAGTTCTTGGAAAATTCACTATTCAAAATCTTTCTAAAGATTAGACTAGCCTTATATATGTATAGAGTAGTGATTCGATTCAAATAGTTACAATGTTTGTTATTTCCCGCCTCATGAGAGTCTCTAACAACTTGTTGATGTGGACACCTCTTTTTTTTGGAAATGGTAAGGTAATTTTATTAGGAAAATTGAAGATACAAACACCAATTACAAAGGACAAGACTGGTAAGGTAATTTTGTTATTTCCTGCCATGGAAAGGACAAGACTGGGATCAACCCCAATTACAAACACCAAATCAACTGAGAACTCAACAATTGAAAGACATTTAAATGTTGATTGAAGACAAGAGTGGTGAACTACCTCCAAATAAACTAAGGCTCCAACTCCATAAGGCTGTAGAAAAGGAACATGAAATCAGCAAATGGAAACAGTCCTCATTATGGACCTTACACAAGGAACACCAATTCGGGGAAAGACAAAGAAAATGTCATTTTTTCTACAAGTTTTCCAAAATATTGATTTTCCCATAGTAAGGAAAAATGTATTTGACTTATGTTTGATCCCACTTTTAAATGTTATTAAGCATTCATCCTTCTTTTGGAAAAAAGGTGTTTAAAATTGTCATATCATAAGCTACTACAAAAACTAATATTGCGCCTCCTGATTCATTCCTTTCCCCAAATCCAAATCCTCTATGTACCATATCATATCCTACATTATTTCCCTACATGACCATTTAAGTCTCCTATGAAAATCTTCTTCTTGTTTGGAATGTCTTGGATTAATCGTTGTAAGTTTTTCCAAAATTGTCTTTTCATGTTTTCTTCTAAACCCACTTGACGTGCATAAGTATCAATGTTAATGATTTCCTCACCTAAAAACAAGTCTAATTAAAATTATTCTATCCCTAATTCTTTTGACATTTACAATTTCATTTTTTAAATCCATATCTACTATTATCGCTACACCATTTCTATTATTCACCTCTCTTGTATACCATAATTTATAGTCATCAATTTCTTTAGTTTTTTTACCCTTCAGAACATGGTAGAAGGTTTGAGGCATAGAGAGAAAAAGAAGAGAAAAGAGGAAAGAACAATGCAAGAGAGGGTATGAGGAGGCATCATGATCTTGAGGGAGACTCCAATCTCACTGTCACTTTAGCTTAGCATTGCCAAAATTTGTGATATCTGTTCTTTGTTTTGGATTATAAGCCTAATATGAAGGGAAATCTCAAAAGCTTACTTCCTTTCATATTTTGTGTTCAAACCGTTCTCCATTACAAAGAACCTTACTCCCCTGCTATCAGGCTTCAGGCCTAACATTGGAGGTATTGCTCCTCCCAGCCTCTTCTTTTTTTTTTTTTTTTGGTAATTGAAAATTAATTCATTAATCAAAGGGTAGAACTGTTACAAGTAAGCCCAATTAGAGGCTTGAGGTGCAGCCTTACTCTTAAGAAAACTGCAATTAGTTTTGTAGGTCTGTTGTTTTCTAATAGCTGCCTGTGACTGTATGCCCATTTTGGAGGGCCTTCATATTGCTTCTTTTGGCTTTGAGGCTGGGTCCACTCAAAAGCCTAAAGTAGTGTTTGGTAAAAATTCCAGAAAGCCCAAATTGACTTTTTTTTACCACTTACACAACTCTCCATTGAAGCTTCTTTTAGTTTCTCCTAAGCAGCTCTGCAAAAGCAACTCAACCAAAGCTTAATCCCTCCCAGGCGAGGCCTGTAGTGCTTGGGTCTATGCATAAACACACCTATTGAACTCTTAGTAGGTCCTAATGGCTCAAAGGGATGCAGGGAAAAGGTAATGCCAGGTATCCTACATTGAGCTATTTGACAGAAAAGGAAACTGAAACAGTCCTGTTTAAGCTCATCTCAAGCATCAGTCAATCTGTCTTTTCTTTTTTTTTTGTTTTCCTTAATTTTGACTTCTTTTTCCTTGACTCATTTTGTTTTCTTTTTTTTTCCCCTTGGTATTCAATCCACCACCTAAATTCAACTAAGGCAACCTTGCAAGCAGGGGCATCCAGGGTGCTTAATCCCTTCCAAGAAAGCCAACAGAGTTACTCTCTCTGGTTTGCAGACAGGCAAGAGTCATTATTTTTACTTTTATTTGTTTTTCTAGGTAGGGTCCTACTAATGCTCATTCAATTGGTAGCAAATCCCAAGATCATGGTGGAGGATGGCCTTAGCTCTATATCAACAGATTCAACACTTGTGTCATTAGTCACCCTTCTAGGAAGCTTCCCTCATTACATCTACTTGGTTGAGCATCAAAGTCACTAGTATAGGTTTGTGCTGGCATGAGTATTGTTATCAAAGTGTCAACTTGTTATCCAGCTAGTCAGTTGAGGGCCAGACTGACTGCACCACTAACTAGTTATTCGATTCTCAAAATGCACCTGGGATGACTAAGCATCGACTAGGTCTGGTCAACTAATCAATAAACAACTAGTCAATCATAAAGTTATTTTAAAGTTTTATTTGTTTGTGTTTCTATCTAATTATTTAAAATGTTTCTTTGATAAAAACGGATCAACATTTCTGATTATTTAAAATGATAGAGCATATGGTTTTACTTTGTCACTTTAAGGGTTTGTGATGAAACTACAGTTGTCAACACTCTGTTAATACTGAGCCAAAATATCATAAAAGAAAATGTCTGTTCTCTTCTGCCAATTTACATTTCTTGAGAAATTCTTTTGTTGGATTTTGGTGTTGATTTTGAGATTATCATCTTTTCCAGGTGCTGGGGAATGCAAAAGGGGCTGTGGCTGTGGTAGTATCAATTCTAATCTTCAGAAATCCCGTCTCAGTGACTGGAATGCTTGGTTACACTCTCACAGTATTTGGTGTAGTCCTTTACAGTGAAGCGAAGAAAAGGAACAAGTGAAACATTTATCCAGGAACACCGTGCAAGCACGTTTTCCTTCCTTTTTGTCTTTTTTTGAGAGAGCAGCGACATTCTTAGCGGGAGATTGGGACACAAGTTCTTGCAGGCCATACATTGTGCCCTCCAAATTCTTTCTTCTTTTCTTGTTTTTCGGGGGAAGCCAGGAAGAGGGTTTCCGCCTGTATCAACAGAAACCACTGCTTACCAAAAAAAAAAAACAGCAACCACCAGCTTAGACAAACGTAGGGAATTCTCAATAAAACGACTGATTGGTCTGTCATTTCTTCCCATCTTGGGGTAATGGAAGAATGCTATTCTTTGGGGTGCGGAATTAAGTTGCAGCCCGATCAGTGTGTTTTTAGTCTATCATCCCTTCATTAATTAATGAAAGATGTTGCGATAATTTTTATTATTAATTTTTATTTCTTATTTTTTATCCTTTTGCTCAGGTATTGAAAACTCAGTCATGTGGTATAGGTGCTGTAAAATGTTTCTAAATATGTATAGGAGAGAATACTTTTGTTCTTTGGAGGTTCTGATATATGCAGTTACATTTTCACTGTTCTGTTTAAACATGAGTTGTAGTATCCTATTAGTTGAGAGAAACAAAAAAAAAAAAGGCATCTACTAGCTGAATGAAAGGGAATGGTTATCAAATGTGGAATGGCTGAATTTTTTTGTGAACCAATTACAAAGCTTTCAGAGTTCCACTAAAGTTTCTCGCTATACAATTGGCATTTGTCATACATTTAGGTTGATAACATTTCCATATTTTGCGTCTCCAACTCCAAGAATGAAGAATCAAAGAGGTGAAAACATTTTTCTCTTTACTTAAATTAAACTCGAATCTGATAGGAGACCCTTTTTTCGGTGCCTTTGGTATTTCTAAAACCTTTGACTAGTCAAGAAAAATTGTTCTTACCTAATTGAAGCAATGACAATAAATTCTAAGTAATGCTGAATTGACCCCGAGGATCATCAACCAGAACATGCTCTTGGTTTTAAACATGCGAAACTCAGCTTCCTAGCAAAGCATAATTGAATGGTTAAAGATGCTAGAGATTGGTCAGATTTACGGATTAACTGATTCTTTTCCACTGTTTTTGAACTGCCATTGACCCAGATGGTTGGACCGTTCGGCCCAGGAATCATCCAGACAACTGGTTCCGTTTTTACATAAACCCAGAATCTGGTTAAAAACTGTCGAAAAAGTCAACAAAACATTGACTCAGGCAGTTGAACCGTTGAAGCATCAACCTGTTCAACGGTTTTTGACCATTTTTTTATTTTTTAAATTTTCTTGTCAGAACGAACCATCCATTCAAATCAGACTGTCAGACCAGTGACCAAAACAGTTCCGTTTCCATTTTTTAAAACATTGCTTTTCCATGCATCAATTCAAGAAAATCACATCCCATTAGGCATTAGGCAACACCTGTAGGACAAATTCATATAAATATAAATATGTAAAATTTAATTGGGCTTGCATGTTGATCTATAAGAGTTAAATCCACATTCAATCCAATTATTAAATAGATGCAAATTCCAAAACTCAAATCCAATCCGATTTCGTAAAAGGATGGCATGAATCAAAAACAATTGGATTTTTTTCAGTATTTACAAAAAATAAAATTGGATAGGAATATTGCATGCTTCATGATGGAAACACACCCTGCATGGTACTAATTCTAGGCATGAACGAGATACAAGGATCCAGCAGGTTACAGTGTTGCACTAATTGCTCTAGGGTTAAAAAAATAATTAGGTTTACTAACAATACACCGATGACTTCAGTTGTAGGTACTTCAAACTTAATAGTCCTTCCTTCCATTAGTTTCCCTAGGTATTTTAACGAATAAATCAATCTAAACTTTCAAACATTAAGAAAAATGCTAATTAGAAAATGATACAAATGCCTCAATGGAATGAATAAATTTTGCGCTCAGAATTCAATGGATAAATTTCTTTGCTACTCTATCAATGCAGGTAAACTTGTGCAGGCTTCTTTAGGCAAATTATGTTGGTAGAGCACTCATCAAAAAAGATGGATATTCAGCAATAAAATCTAAAATTACCCATCAACGAGTTTGACATCTCTTCCCAAGGATTAACACAGAGATGTCAACACAGACGTTTTTATGAGCTCTTGTATAACAGTGAAGTAGTGATTATATCAAATAGGTTGGGAGGAATCCTGGGCTCAATAACCGATAATATTTGATTAACCAAAGTTTCAGGTAACCAACAGCAGAACTTACAAAAATGATAAACAAAAGCATACACCAGTAAAAATGTTAGAGCCCCTCTAACTATTAATTAGGGTAACATTCAATCCAGAAATTCATCAGGTTTGAGGCTTGGTCTCTTCTTCCTCGTCTTCGATCTTAGGCGCCAAATAGAACCTGATATAACCCATCTCAGCAATCTTGTACTCGACCACAACAGGGAGATCCGAAGACAAGCTGATGGTCACTGTGTTTGATAATGGGGTCGCCTTGGTGAAGGAGTTCATGTACCTTAGAGCAAACGTCAATGACACTGGTTCCTGCATCTCTATGATGGTAGCTTCCTCCGGCTGTTACATTTCATCCCAAACGAATATAATCCACAGAAACGACCCATTAGTCAATTATAAATTTAGCACCCAAGTTTCCATGATTTACAGTCGTTGATGGAGAGTTCTTGAAATTTAAACTATAAAAGAAACACAAACACACCTTATCCACGGTTGTATTCTGCCGGCAGATAATATTTGCAGCTCCGATGTCACCTCGTGTGGAGAACCTCACGCCTTCTTTTGTCGCCGAAATCACAACTGACACCACCCACAACCCCAAAATTGAATTTTGAACAAGAAAATGAAAAAGGGGAAAATTATAGTGGTAATGGAAACTGGAGTTTTTACCGGTATCCCCAATGCTACTGAGATCCCTGCAAATCCTTGCAAACTCAGATGACGGCATACGAACGATGGCTTGGTATTCTGCTTCGGGAATTCCAAGATGCTCGCTATCGATGTCCATCAGTTTCATCTCAAAATCAGCAATCTTATCTTGATCTATGATGCAAACAAAAGCAAGAAGCTGAGATCAATAAATGGAATTGATGCGCCCTTCTCTCAGATTTTCTCCCTCAAGATCTTGATAAAATAGCAAGAAAAGGTAAAAGAATTGAAAACTTACTAGGGCTTTCGAACATGAAGGTGACAGTGTCGCTGCCATCATCGGCCTTGATGGTGATGATGTCGTCATTACCGGCGCACTTTAGCATCTTGGACATGTTGTTGAGGTTCATGCCCATGGAGAGATTCCGGTCGCAGCGGTAATGCTCGAAGCCCTCCGATCTAAGGAGGAGGGCCACCAGAGCCACATGACTGGAATCCATGGCCTGGAGTGAGAACCCGGTGGCCGAGCAGTCGAAGTTGGCATCGTTCACCAGGTCTTTGATCGCTTCCAAGACTTTCTTCAACAAACTCCCCTGTACCAGCCTGAGCTCCAACATCTTCTCTGTATCTCTCTCTCTCAATCTTACCTCTTCTCTAATGAAGAAAAGAAGGATAGGAAACGAGATAATATAAGAGAAAACGAAGGGCAAAAAACCTAGGGTTCCCAGGAGTTTGCGAGGGAAGGAAATGAATGCAAGTGTGAAGAGAAAAAATAAGGACACACTCTAATCAGAAAGAAGAGGAAGAAGAACGAGGGAAAGCGGGGAGTGAAGGCGTTTTCTATTTATGTGGCGGGTCAGGTCTGCGAGTATCGAAACCTAAATCTGCTATTTGGCGGGAAACTTAACTATTCTTTCCCGCCACATTTGGGGGCTATGGAGAATGGGCTACCCGATTTGGCGGTATCCGGTACCTAATGAACTTTTTTTTTCCTGAAAGGGGTACGAGGTTTGAAGGAGTCCGGATATGTTCTCACTGGTCGCTCCTCACACCGACCTCACGGAGTCACAGTATATACCGGTCGCATATCGGAAACGAAAAGGAAACATCTCCCGTAATTATGTTATGATGTGGCTGTGACCGTGAGGACGGTGTAAGGAGCGCCAAGTGAGGAGCAGTCTAATGGCTTTTTCTTCGAAAAGAACAAAGAAGTAGGATGATTGAAGGTGAAAAAAATGAAAGCGCTATAGTTCAGGTTCATCTAAAAAAAAAACTGAATTTCATATTACTCCATGCATCAACAAATTTTCAATTGTAATTGTACGTGAGGAAAAGAATCAAAAGATCACAATTCATCCATGGCAAATTCATGAATATTTAGGCAAAATCTTAACAATGATAGAGAACAGCTTAATCGTATAATCATATTAATGGCATTTTACGACACAATTAACATAGTCAGGTGGCTTGGCTACCACCGCCACGCCAACCTGAATTGCACTTTGCCCGTTGGCCGATGGGCAATCGGGTTTAGAAAATTTTCTGCATCACAGGAATGTGGTTGCTCATAACCTGGCCTACAATGCATGTAAATATAATAGGATATTATGTATTGAGAGTAACCGGAATATGGATACGTAGTAGTAAATGAAGTTGCTTTCTGAGTTTTTTGGGGGGAAAAAAAAAAAAAAAAAAGAATAATAGGCTGACGTGGCCGATAGGTATTAATCTGGTGCAGAAAATTTTCTGCACAAATGGCGACGTGTGACTAGCAACTAGGAACCTAGGGTAAAATATAAAAACCTCCCTTTATGATTTCTGACAATCATATAAACTTTTCCTCAAGTTTTACTTTAATAAAAACTTACCCTGAATTTTTAGAAAATTCTACACATAATACATACCTCCCTTCCAACTGAGCCCGAGATGCATTAATTTTTTCAAAATGACCATCCTACCCTTACAAAGATTCTCGAGCCCAGTTATCATTCTCGCATGACATGAAAACGTCATTCCCACAAATTAAAGATTTGAAGTATGTAGACTATAGGCAATAGCACCAATAGACAAAAGCACGTGCAATGCAAGTTCCTCATGTGGCGGTGTCCCTCCTTCTTTCGACCTTCTTCCTTCTCTATTTTTTGAGACTGATGTTGAGGCCAGCCTCACCAAGCTCCAACGCGAAGACTTCGAATACTACATGCAAATCTATTCCATAATCCTTGGTCGGAACAACAAGAAATCAACTGTCGACGTCGACCTCGCCAGCCTCGGCAGCAACATGAACCCTCCCGTCAAGCTTGACTCCCAAGACCTTCTTCTCCAAATTGGCGACAAGAAATTCTACCTCCTCCTTAATGTTTGCAACATCCTTGGAGGTTCTCTGCCTGTCACATCCCTCACGCTCCTCCACCCCTTCCGTCGTCCGCTACACATCTGCCCTCTGCATGGGTTGCGCTACCTCCACCGCCGCATCACTCTTCCAAGAAGGGGTGGGGTTGGGCGTCGAGTGATTATTTGGACGATGACGAGGAAGACAAGAACAACATTGTTACTGCAAGTGCTAGCAAGAAATTACGGAGAGAAGAGCATGAGATGTTTGGATATGATGGATCGAGAGGAAAGATAGGGTCATCTAGACAACTAGAGAAAAAAGTCAGAAATCAAGTCAAGAGCTACTGTGCTCTTTGATCTTTGTATGGCAAAGCTTCATTTTGAGCTAGTAGAGCAATATGGAAATATCTGGCATCAAAGGACTAGCCTCTCAATGAATCCAAGGGAAGGCCATGGTTTGGACTGCTTCATTGTTGAGGAATATCCAAAACATTTTGTCATCAACACACCGTCCAAGGGGCGTGTAACATTTGAGTTTGTCTCCTTGGTGTCCTTGCTTTGATGAGTTAACTTGCACGGTCGAGTATTTCCAATGTGATTCTTCTTGAGGCATGGCACGAGTGACCCTGAACCCCTTTTCTTTGATTTTTCAATAACTGGTATTCTTAATTTATGGGTTGCTTAAAGGAAAACTCTCATCTTCAAAAAAAAAAAGTGTAATTAATTATGATGGGTAGCAAAACCACATGTGATAATGAGAGTAAGAAATCATCATACCTAATTCCCTGTTCTCCATCTTGAGCATCTTCAAGTGTTAGAAGCCGCACAATAGGGACGATGTAGGTGTTGAAGCAAGAAACAAGGGACGGCTACATCATAGTGATGAAGACAGAGGGCATTGGGTGGGTGAACCAGATATAGACGAGAAAGCCACACAGTTCATTACAAAGTTGTATGTAACCCACATCTCAGATCTCGAACAGCAAATTGTTAAAGTTTGATGGATTGACTCAGCAATCAAGGATGGAAGATTGACAGAAGAGGAAGAAACCGACAAAGAAATATTATGAAAAAATGGCAAGGAAAAGATGATAAAGAGGTTCCTCCTTGAATGGATGGAATTTGGATGAGATATTGCATCCTCCGTGCCTCCTCGTACTGGATAAATTGGGATAGGAAAAGAGGGTGAAGAGGTCGACATGGGAGGAGAAGAGGATTACATGTCGGCATAGGTATTTCAGTAAAAACATATGCAAACCATTTCCAAAAGGGTAAAATAGGTATTTGGAGAAAATTGATTCACCGGTTTAATATTTTTACTCTTGGTTATTGACAGAAGGGAGGTTTTTATCATGTTTTTTCTAAATCTAGGGGAGGCTTTTCCTAAAGTAAAACTACAGGGGAGGTTTTTATCATTGTTAAAAACTTTAAGAGAACTTTTTGTATTTTACCCACTAGTAAAAAAACCTTAGCTGTTTGACCCTAAGAACATTTTTGGAAATTCCACGTTAGCATAGAGTGGGGTAAAATAATAATTGCCCCTATTTCCTTTTTTATCATAAACAATTAAAAAGACATGGGCATGAATGGCTGAACGTGTCCAGCCTAAACACGCTCTCAATAGCATAGTCTATTGATTGCCCCCAACAGCCAAGGTTAACTCAGCAACTAGGGCTGTTAATGGGTCGGGTTTTGATCCAATAGTAGTAAGATCAGACAAATACATATGAAACCGATTGACTAGCTCTAGTCAGCCAGCGGGCAAGTGCAACTCAGGCCGGGTTGGGTCGACTTGAGGTAAACCTTATCCCAACCCGACCCGAGGTGTTTACATCCATCAATAAAAATCTGTAAGAATATAGCATTGTCTAGACTATATATTCAAAACCAGTGTTTTCAACCCATTGTTGACCCGACTGGTTGAACTGTTCAAACCGTTACCCGATCAGGATTCTAGGTCCAGTTCAGTCAAAACTCATCAGGTGGTAAAAAAACCATTGACTTGGTCAACAATCATTTGACTTGGTCGGTTCAACCATTGACCCATTCGACCTGGGTGACACACTTTAATGGGTATTTGGGGCATTTGGTTTTTGTGCATGGGGCATTTGGGGAAATGTCAAATTCTTACTTCCCCAATGCCCAAGTATTTTTTAAAGATAAATGCTGATGTGATACACTTTAATGGGTATTAATCTGAAGTAGGAAATGAAAAAATATTTAAAATGATGTCCAACCAAATAACAAAAACAAAAAACATTTAAAATAAAAAAGTACAAACAAACGGCCCATCTATAAACACCGAACCAAATATATAGAAAATCTTATGCATTGCATTGGGAATATGTCACAATACATGGGGGTAGTGGATGAGGGAAAAGTTTATGGAGATCCGTAGTGGCTAGCAGGTAAAAAAATGTGAATTTAAGGCCATTCAAAGATGGTTATGGATTGCCTTCTTGTAAGAGTAGTAAACCCCTTTGAAGTTATGTACCTGCCTTTTTTGGTAGAAATACGAATTGGATTAACTATTTGGGGGCAAAATTTTAATAATCATTCCTAAAATCAAAGGCTTTCTTATATTTGTTTCACCTGAAACTTTGGATTAACTATTAAACTTTGACAATAAAAGCAGGCCATTATCCATAGCTGGTCTTATTTATCCAAGGTCTTAGGAGTGGTGGAGTTTATATGGACTACATTGCCCAGACATGGCTATACTATATCCATGGTCTTGCGTTAAATTCAAATAGTATGACCTTCTCTTTTTTAGTTGGCAACCTTGATTCCTAATTTAAAATATTAAAATTATTTCAAACGGAAATTAATTTAGCAATTAAAGAATACCAACTTTAGACACATGACTAAGTATGAAAATAAACACACTTCAAAAGATATGGTGCTCATATTAATCTTTCTAATTCAAATAAAAGACTGAAAATTTTCAATGAATACCACATCATTACAAATTAAACCTGATTTAATTTTCTAAATCAAACAACTTAAATTATATATTATAGATAAGTAATGAATCTCAAACAAAATCATATATAGTTTCGTTCGTAATTCAAGGGTCATTTCTAACAAAAACTACCCTCTACTTTGTGTATTACTAAAAACACCTCAACCTTCCATAGAAAATGTGAAGTAGCACGAGTCAATGTTTTTTTATTTCGAAAATACCCCTACTAATTCTGATATCAACCTTTTCCATACAAAACCCTTCTCCAACATAATTAGACCTGATTATGGGCAATGCGGAATCGGGTTTGGAAAAGATTGTCTCAAACGATACACCTGAAGCTTTTTTTTTTTCAAAATCAGTTCAGGGGGCCGGTTTAGGTCTCCTCCACCCCCAAAACCGGTCAAAACCCCGATACACCCCCTGTGGGAGAGAATCAGGAAGCCACCGGTTTATGCTTTGTCTCTTTGTTAATAGAAAATGTCCACGTCGAAGCACAAGCCCAACCCTCATGTACAGAACGAAGCCTGGTTTAAAACCCGTATTAACCGCGTAATATTTAACAACTCCGAAATAAATTCAACAAAAAGCCGTCGAGTTGTGTACTGAAATTTGTACCATCAATCGTGAATCGACCAGAAAACTACTAGCCACATGAATCATTTAGAAATCAATCATTCTCCATTCAAAACTACCAAAAATAAGTTCCAAAACAACTGGATAGAGCTCCTTCATACAAAATTCTTTTTAACCAGTAGATAGGTCATAGATGAGAACTAAAAACTAATCCACTGCATCCTTAATCGACATATTCATGTGCTGCAACACTGCACCAAATAAAAAGTGACGATCAGAAAATGTGGGAAATAATCCGTGGTCAATAATGGAATTCGCAGTTCATTACAAGTTTATAACACCATCTCTATAAGCAACACCCACATTCACATCTTGAACTCCAAATGAAATTTCTATCTGAGAAATGGGATATCTCCCAGAACAAATGAAGGTTAAAAAGGATTATAGTGTTAGAATTATCAAATCAAGTTATTAGGAAACAATGTCATTCAGCCTAATAAAGAACTATTTATTCAAGGATGGTCCTCAACTTTTTCTAGATTACCAGTTTAACTGCAAATTGGTAATCATAGGTGAGGTGTGTGGGCCTCTCAACTTTTCTAGATTACCAATTCAGCTTAATAAAAAACCATTTATCAAATCAAGTTATTTATTTAAGGATGGTCCCTCTCAATAAAGCACTATTTGCTTAGGCAATAGTAAAGAAATTAATGATATTTATTAATAGTATAATATCAAATATAAAAAGCATCTAACAGCCACTTCTCATTCTAAATCAATAGATTCAAGATTTAACATTTTGGAAAATCCATACTTGTCTAGGTGAGATGTGTGGGCCTTTTCTTCTAGCTTCAAGGGGCTATATCCAGACGCCTGTAGTGCAGAGAAAAGCATGTGGTTTGCTTCAAATTTTAGTGTTTATTCTGTATCCAAGACATTGACCTGTTATGTTCTTGCCATATCTGGGTACCATAGGACATTTTCCTTAGATCACCTTGTGCCTCACGGTAATAGTGTAATGTTTTAGTTATAGTGTAGTTTCCATGTAATCTGGTATTAATGAAGGCAAAAAAGGTGTAAAGTGGATGTAATAGTAATGGGTAGTAGCATCTTCATTATAGTAGGGCTTCAACAAGTAGCCCTCAATGTTCCTTCTTCAGAAGAGGCGTTTTCTTCTACCTCTTTCTAGATTTTTATTAGTAAAACAAAGTACCATCGTCTATAGAAGATCAAAGGCTTTATTCCATCTGCACTTCCTCTTTAACCACTTATCTCATATCTGATTCTTTCCTAGGGCTCGGTTTGAAAAGAAAACAAATTCAAATATGTACAGTGGAAATAGATACAAAATACAAGGTTTTGCACTCTACATATTTGTATTTGTACTTAGGCTCAGTTTGGAAGGAGTACAAATACAAATATTTACAGTACAACTACATACAAAATAACATGAAAAACAAAGTCTTGCACTCCAAATATTTGTATGTGTGCTCTTTCCAAAATGAGACTAACTTGAAAATTTCGCCCATTTGTATGTTCTCTTCAACGTCCCTTTGTTTCAGCTACGAATGACAGTTATATGCCTGTCTAATGGAAATTCAACCATGGCTTAGTCTGGAAGTTGAAATTTTGCCCCCGTTTCCCATCTTATCTTCTAATGTAATTTCTTCACTTCTAAATATCTTTCCACTGAAAACTGTCGAATCTAACCCTTTCTCGTCAATGTTAAAGTTAAAATTACTCACCAACATCTTTCCTTTCCAAACCTTTCATCGAACTTTCAGTAAGTTTGTCTTCTGGCGTAATGAAAGAACAAGTCTCATCCTTCATACGACTTCTAGAGTATGAACAATAGCTTTCTAAATAACCAATCAAATGGGCTACATGCTTTCATAGAAATAAGTTTAACTGAATAAAATGTTGTCAGGAAAAATTTTTTGTCTATCCATTTTCCAAGAAACCACAAATCTATAACAAACACTTCCCAGCTAATCCATTGGCCACACCGCACTAGTCAAGCAGATAGGCAAATAACAAGAGAAAAAAAAAAAACTAAATCAACAAATCACCAATCAAAGAAATCAGTACATAGAGATAGCAATGGTACCTCAAATGTTGCTCGGATACATGAATACCCGGACCTTCGAACCCTGCAAAGACCACAGAATATTAATATCGATTTGCAATAACCATAAAAGAAATAAGAAATGGTTGAAGCCAGCTTGAAATAAATAAGAAAAAAGAAAAAAAAATACCATAGATCTAGGGGGCAAGTTGGACTTGAACTTGGCTCGGACAATTCCGCTGTTACCATGCGGCCTGGTAACCTTTCCCCAAATGCAACGGTAGTGAGTTCCGTTCTTCTTGACCTTGCCCTTGTAAATGTAGGCCAACCGCTTGCCGCAGTACCATCCGACCTCCTCCTTGGTGTTCACGCCCTCAATCTGAATCAGTGACGTGTTTGGGTACTGATTGGATTTTGACCTTGAACACGAAACCAAAAATTGATTATCATTCAATAAGCTGGTTCTAACTAAAACTGAAAACAAACTGTAAGAAAATGATGCAAACAAGGAATTTGCCAAGTGAGACTAGTTTCAATACCTCTTGTATCCAAGGACAGTTCCTCTCACATAGAGTCTGAAACAGAAAAGTAAATAGCATAAATCAGAAAAATCATTTAACAAGGACGAGAGGATCACAGGCAGAGTTAGATAGCTGAATCGAGAGGAAGAAAGGGGTGGATTTAAGACCTGACTCGCTCCCCTTGGCGTCCCTTCACCATTTTCGTTGAGAGTTCTTCACACAAGCGGCGGAACGAAGAACCTGCGAAGGGAAAGCGAAAACCTAATTCTCTAGCGAAGATAACATTTATAAATAGAAGAGGAAGTTATTCCATGCAGCAGACCTATGGAAACTCCGATACACGCAAACACTTTTCATCTTGATGAACGGATGTTACGTTGTCTTTCGTTTTTCAAATTTTATTTGAGAATAATATACCTGATTTTATTTTTTTATCTGAATTTAGGAGTTAGGACTTAGGATAGCATATGAGACTGTTAAAAGTGATCTATACTACCTTCTAAACCTAATACAAAGCCTAATTTTTGTTACTTGAATTGTTCAACCATTAAACTAATTAACAAAAAAGGTGAATATCAATTATATTTTTCTCCCTCTTATTCTGATTTTAATTAGAAATAGTGTTGTAACGTGGGTGCGTTGGGTTGGGTTTAAGGTAAACCCAAGCCAATCCTAAACTGCAAATCACAAGCTCGGGAGTGGACCAATCAAAGGTCAAGTTCAGGCTTATCAACCTAGCCTTATCCGTGCTTAACCTAAAACAATTAGGGCTAGTTTCAAATTAGGCTTATTGGAAAGGCGTTGACCAATTAAAACCTTCCATGAATTTTGATACAAATTCACCTAATTAATTATCACGTTTATGATGAAGTTGATTGGTTATAAGTTGCATTGCCATCTGTTGTTGGGTTTTATGGTCCAATTTAGAAGTACAATAGATTAAAGTATGTATGATTTTCATATATAAATATGTATATTAGTATGCCATATATATAATTAAAAAAATTATATAAATAAATTCATGTGTATATCTATTCTTTTTTTTGCTATAACTCAGGTCGCAATGCAACATTAGGGCAATGGTCAGTACCGTGGCCATTTATTTTAATAAATTCTTTGTACTTTTATATATTGAAAAATGAAAAAATGGGTGATAAATCTGTATTCAGTGTTGTTTAATTAGGTACAAGCCATTAGGTACTATATAAGCTCAACGATAAATAAATGGTTGGGTATTGGGAAAGAGTTCGACTTTCAATCAGGGCACCATTCGTGCAGCATAATAACGCACCACTTGTTCTTAAAATGTGTGCGTGTTCGATACGTGTGAGGTGAATTAAACTTAAAATGTGTGCATGTTTGATACGTGTGAGGTGAATTAAACGCACTCTTCTCACCACTCTCTCGCCCATATCGAATATATTCTCGCCGATATAGTGAATCTTAGAAATCTCACGCAGCTTTAGTTATATGTCAATGGATTGACCGGAAACATTCGAGTTGGGTTCAGAAAGCTCACCAGTCTCCGTAACTTCGACGCTTCAACTAACAATCTAAGGAGATCTCTCGGAATTCAGGTCCTTGATGCAATTCATCACTCTACAACTCTTTGAGAATAATCTTTCGTGAATTTGATGCTTTACCGGAACAACCTAAGTGGTACTCTCCCTCAGAGGCTTGGTTATTGGATGGACTTCGATATCATCGATGTCTCTGAGAATTATTTGATGGGTCCGATTCCACTTGAAATGTGCAATAATGGCAAATTGAAAGCCTTTCATGCTGTAGAACAAGTTTACTGGAGAAATTCCAACCACTTACGCGAATTGTTTGACTCTAACTCGTTTCCGCATAAGCAATAATTCCCTTTATGGTAGCGCCCTTGCTGGGATCTGGGGTTTGCCTAACCTCAACATCATCGATTTCGCTATGAATCACCTTGAAGGAGCCATTATGTTTGACATCGCGAATGCCAAAACACTCTGGCAGTTATACATCACAAATAATAGATTTTCAGGTGAATTGTCGTCGGAAATCTCATAAGCGATGGCTCTAGTTTCTATTGACTTGAGCTCCAACAAGTTCTCAGGTGACATTGCGCTTAGTATCGAAAAATTAAAGAAGCTCAACATTATTCAGCAGCAGGATAACATGTTTCCTGGCAGCATACCCAATTTGTTAGGTTCATGCATTTCTCTGAACGTCATAAATTTCGTCGACAACTCACTCACGTGTCAAATTCCATCGACACCGGGGGTATTGCCCTCCCTTAACTCATTAAACCTATTGAACAACCAGCTAACGAGATCAATTCCCAGGAGTCTATCTTTTCTTAGGCTTAGCCTTTTCAATGTGTCACACAACAGGTTAACGGGATGCATACCGCAATCTCTTGCGCTGGAAGGTTATAATGATTGCTCCGCTGGTAGCCTTAGACTATGTGGTCCAAATAATGGCTGCTTTGGTCCCTGTCCGTCAGATTCTGGCAGTTCAGTGGGCGAGAGATTTAATGGTTGATGGAATCAGGGGCGAGAGAGGAGCAGGATGGAATGAAACTATAGAAGGAATGAGGAGTTTAATTCACCTCGCACGTATCAAAGACGTGTACATTTTAAGAACACATGGTGTGTTATTACGCTGCACGAACGGTGTCCCTACTAAAGTCAGACTCATTGGAGAAATATTAAAAATGGTAATTTTTTCTTTGGTTCTCACACAAATCAAGAAAATGTTTATTTAATAAATAGTGTTACCAAACAATGGTGTTTTTTCCAATGCCTACATGGTGATGATCTAACACCATTTTTCGAATAAACAGCTACAAAACCAAACAACATGTAGGTTAGGCTCAAGTTTTCTTGCATAGGCCCAATCAATGCAAGAACTCAAGATGAGTGGAGTTGGGTCAGCCCAAGTTGCAAGCCTAACTTAGAAAGTTGTTTTTTTGTCACTAAAAACAATAAATTTAGGCTATATTTGGTTTGAAAGAAATGTAGGAAAAGGTAAGGAAACCCTTACAATCCTTGTATTGGTTTCTCTATCTTTCCCTTCCTTTTCCTACCTTTTCCTTCAAATCAAACATAGCTTTAGAGTTCATATTTGATCCTCACAAAGCTCTCCTCACACCAACCTCACAAGTCACAAGCACTTGAAAACGTACATCTGAAACATCTCGTAAGCTATTATTCATAGAGAAATGTTCTCAATACATGGTTGCAACATGCTATAAGGTTGGTGTCAGATACTCTGTGAACTGTGAGGAGCAAATCTGGATTCATAAATTTAGGCTTTCGAAATTGCTTATAATTTGGATTGGCCCACCATACAAAGCTAAATGCCTGTTTTTTTTTTTTTTCTTTCCTAAAGACACATATCAAGGGCGTTTAGGTTTAGAGGTAGAAACCACATTGATCCTATCTTATTGGGTTAAGGTTTGGGCCAGCCTTGGATGAGGCCCACTTTACAAAGCCGAAACCTAAGGAAAATCCTCCACAATGGACACCCATTTTGTCAAAACCTAAATGGTTAAATGGTTATTCAAAACTCAAAAGTCATTATCATCGTCAAAACCCTATCCTATGGGATTGGCTGGCTATATAAATCCTGCTTTGCAATTATATTTTAATAGCGGGGCCCCGTGCAATGCACGGAAAAGCCCAATATCCAATATCATGTCGCAAGGGATTAAGAGAAAATGTAAGGTTAGTATTAGAGCAACTTAATTTGGATTATACTGTTTTATTGTACATTACAAATTGGAGACTACACACCAATTGTGGAGGGAATAAATGATTATATTTGACSCAAAGTAGAAACTCCAACATCAAAACCACCATCTCTGCTCCTTATCAAAGTCTCTTCATCCCGTAATTCTGTACCAATTGCTCCAAATCTATATAAACTCCTCCAGTTGAAGCAAAGGTCWGCCCATAGCTATCYGTCATCTTCATGRTCTTCAATCTAGGWAATGCAAYGGTTCTCTCAACACCTGGAAAATAATACCAAGTGCATGGTTTCCCAAATGGTACCTACAACTTAACCCATGGTTGCACCTTTAATTATCTTCTCCTCATCTTCCAAGTACCTAAGCTCTGATAGGTCTATGGTTATCTTCTACTGAAAGCTAATTGCAATACATACAAACCATAAAGCATTTGAATGGCAATAATAATGAAGCATCCAAACATTCTACATATTGCTCACCGCAAATCTATGCCATGAAAGAAAAATGACTAAAACTGTAAATTACCATTAAATATCTACAAATAAATGTGATAAGGAAAATGATATAAATATAAGACTCCTGCTTCTCATAAGCTTAAGGGAGCTGGTTATTGGTTTATTATAGAAGTTATCGTCAATTTGAGATTCTAACTCTGCAAGTGTTCACCTGGTTATTGGTTTATCATAGAAATTTTTAAACCAAAATGTGCTCTATTTTGTCTTGTCCATTTGGAACTATTACGGGTAAGTCTAGCTACCTCGTGTTTCATTTTTGTTTTTCATTTTTTCTAATTTATTATGGACAAATAAGTAAAGATAGAAATACCCAAAATAAGACATTTTCAAAAACATCCCCAATAATAGCACGCCACATTTCAAAGAAAATAGAATAAATGCAAAAAAGAAAAAAAAAAAAAAAACACTCATATTGGGCCAGGTAGGGAGCTTCAAAGACACTAATATGAATCCAATTACACAACTAAGAAAAATTAGAAACCAACAAAATACTAACCAATTTACTGAACACTAACAACATAAAGAGGTGTTATATATTCCTTTAAAACTTCCAAAAACCCAACCAACTTGTTGTGTGTCTGCCATTGATGAAACTTRTATTGCATATATAGCAAAGAATTAACCATTGATTTAAAAAATTGGAGACAGGAATTCAATATTGGGTGTCCTATATARGTTGGGTCCTTTGTCAAATTTGCAAAGGAAGCAACATATTTGATTTAAAAAAAAAAAACACCTTTCTAAGTTAAGGCACAGATTTTGTATTATATGAGCATGGGAAGTGCTTCTTTACCTATGGGAGCAATTTTATTGATTTACTGAAGTCCATGGAAGTAACAAATCTAGTGTAAACTACAATTGATGATTATTGTACTTATTTACCAAACATAAAGATAGGGAAACAAAGAAATGTCTTAATATCCTAACCAGTGCAACAAAAAGAATATCCTAACCAAATAAAGATCAAATAGCAAAGCCACATACCTGAACCACAAAAAGAAACATTGGCAAAAAGAAATAAGAACAATAGAAACCAAAATATACAAAACTAACTTGGTAAGCATGACAACAACACAAAAAAGAAGATAATAAAAAAATAACAACAGACTAAACTCCTATCGTAATAAAAAAGAAAATAAAAATTCATAAATCTAATAAACACAACATCACAAAAATGGTGACACTTTAAATACAACGAAACAAACATTGGTTTTAAAATCTAACCAAACCAAACATCGGTAGCCCCCACAACCACCACAGGATTCAAACCAAACACCAACCACCAAGCTCTGAACAGACCAGACTCTGGTAATCGCTTTCCACTCCCAAATATTTGTAGAAAATCATCAAATCAACCAAAGAACTTCCACTCCCACACAAAAAATAGTCATTTTGGTCAACAATCCATCAAACCACTCACAAACAACAACAACAAATCACATAATCCACCATAGAACCTCCACTCTCACACCGCAAAATAGCTAATCCAATCAGCATTTGGATAACTTACATAACCACCACCCATAAAACATAATTTTCATTGTTGTAGATATTCCATTTTTGCGCTTTTCAGTATTTTTGCAGCACTTTGACCTTTAAGCATGATTTAGCTAACCCAACGGTTGACCTGGGGGTATTTTTGGAATTTTACAAAAGTTAGGGCCTCAAGTATCCAAAACCATAGGTACGTAGAGCCCGAAAAACCAAACCCAACGACACCAAGATCGCCAAAGTCCGATACCGTTTACCCCTGCATCCTGAGACCCGAAGCTGAAACCGATTCTGATCGTCCAATCGGAGTCATTTTAATCATAATCCTCATTCACATCAAATCCAAAATCTGAGACCATAGGTACGTAGAGCCCAAAAATCCAAATCCAACGACACCAAGATCACCCGAGTCCGACACCATTTACCCCATCATCCTAAGACCCAAAGCCAGAACCAATTCTGATCGTCCAATTGGAGTCATTTTAATCCTAATCCTCATTTCACATCAAATCCAAAATCTAAGACCATAGGTACCTAGAGCCCAAAAATTTGAATCCAATGACACCAAGATCACCCGAGTCCGACACCGTTTAGCCCATCATCCTAAGACCCGAAACTAGAATTTATTCCAATTGTTCGATCAAAGTCATTTTGATCATAATCCTCATTTCACGTCAAATCCAAAATCTGAGACCATAGGTACGTAGAGCCCAAAAATCCGAATCTAATGACACAAAGATCACCCGAGTCCAACACCGTTTACCCCATAATCTTAAGACCCGAAACCGGAACCGATTCTGATTGTTCGATCGGAGTCATTTTGATCATAATCCTCATTTCACATCAAATCCAAAATTTGAAATCATAGGTACGTACAGCCCAAAAATCCAAATCCAACAACACCAAGGTCACCCAAATCCGACACTGCTTACCCCTTCATCTCAAGACCCGAAGTCAAAACTGATTTCGATCGTCCGGTCGGGATCATCTCTGATCCTAAATCCTAAACCCCAAAAAATATGAAATCCAACCCTGTAGATGGATAGGTCTCGGAAGTCCGAATCCAACGGTACCAAGATCGTCCAATTCCGATACCGTTAGCCCCTCCATCTTGAGACCCGAAGCTAGACTCGATACGAGCCCTCCGTTTAGAATCTTTTTCATAATAACTTTGAACTTAGGGCATTCCACGACCAAAACTTCCCCTCAGCCACTAAAAACATCTTAAAAATCTAAGATTTGACCAGCTATAACTTCCAATCAATCAAGCCAATCACCTAAACTTGGAATGTCCAATTTAGTTAAATTGGTGAAATCTCTCTCTTTGTCTTGATTGATTGAGAGAATCTCTCACAAAGCTGTCTTGACAGCTTATTTTCTCAATCAATCTCCTTCCAAAAACCATTTAAACATCAGTCATTGATCTCCCATCTCAGCCCTCCATTCCCCTTTCAAAAAATCTATAAATACCACCCCTTCCTCACATCCTTGACACACAAAAAAGCCTAGAGCAATTATTCTATACTCACTAATACAGAGAATACCCCCCTTCACGTCCCAAGCAGTCCTAAGCTTCCCTAACCCATGTCCTACACTCTTTCTCCACCATCTCTCACGTCCCTCTAAGAGCTTCCCAAGTCATGCATACATCCAAGAGAAGAAGTTGAAAGCATCCTAGAAGTAACAATTATGCAACGGAAATGATACTCGATCTAGCAGTGTTTCCACACATCTTGGGCTACATAACCGATGTCTTTGACCTCCCAAATAACCGGGAATTCATCTCGAACCCAAGGAATTTTACAAGGATTTCAAAGGCCTCGTGAAGATGCATATAAAGGGCAACTATGAAGGTCATATTGATGATAGAAAGACTGACAAGAGGTGACTCCTGCTTCATGACCCATAAGGTTAGACGTTCCCTTTTTTTATTCCTTTTCATATTGTAGGCTTGCTATTTTCATGTTTCTTAGTTTCTGACCAAATAGTTAGGATTGACATTCCGCCTAATTGATAGAATTTCTTTGTTGTCGCCGTCATTTTTTTTTCTACTCTTATTAGCATCATCTCACTTGCTTAATTGGCATCGCTTCTTGCATTTAGATTTTTTAATTTCAACCTTACAATTGGTAGAATAGTTAGAATCGTTGGATTTGATCATGCCACATAGTAGCTTTTGTTAATTGCATTTGGCATTCTCTAGTCAATTAAATTCGTCACAACTTTTGTTTTAGAGTCACATAGTAGCTTTTGTTAATTGCATTCGTCACATAGTAGCTTTTGTCAATTAATTTCAACTAGTCATTTTCTTTTGTTTTTAGTGTCTAGTCTTACAACCATTTAACTTTATGCTCTCGTAGTCTTCTTTTTTTTTTTATCTTCCGGTTTGCTTTATCTTCACCAATTTTCCATTAGTATATAATAGGAGTCATTATTTTAGTTGGTTTCCGTAGCCGTTTTTTTAGTTCATGTCATTCACTTATTTGCCTATTTGATTTAGTTTTACATCTCCATTTTAATAGAATGCATTCTACTAGAAATTATTAATAAGAAGTTGTGTCATCGTGGTAGGTCAATATTTTACATTTCCATTGTTAGATTAATCATTCATGTTTTTTATGGAATTCTGTTCCAGAGTTTTGATCTATAGGATATTCATCATGCAATTTCTTTAATTTTTTTTTTTGATGTATTCATGATAAATAGCATGCGATCATTCTCTCTTTAGTGTTATTGTCATTTTGATAGTACATACTCCTTTTCTTAGTTAATAAAATGGGTAGATAGAATTGTCATTCCTCAATTGCTTGTTTAGTGTATTTTATTTCAAAGCCCAAAAATTATGAAAGTTTCCTTGAAACATTGGTGAAGTAGAGGCCTGTTCAACCGGGCGTGTGTGGGGTGCCTAACACCTTCTCACACCATACCTTAGTCTTCGAACCCTAAGAATTTCATCTCTATTGGGCAACGAATCACCAAGAAAACAAAATATTTTTCTTGAAAAATCCTGAATTTTCCTAAATTCTCAATTCCAAAAATTTAGATAGCGATTCCAAACCCATATCCCCCCCTCTGGGTTGGATATCCACAACCGTGCAATAAAAAGCACCACTGAAACCAACAAAGCCACTGCTAAACCCCAACACAAACATCAAATTGATAGCATCAAAAAACATCCATGTCTGCTTGATCAATAGTTGAACCATGAACAAAACTCATCTTGCAAACAAAAAAAAAAGAGACCATGAACAATCAAACAAAAGATCAGTAATAAAATACCAGAAAAAAGGGTAAAATCAACATCTCTAAGCCGAATAGGAACAACCAAAGTCTCCAAACCCTATTGAACACCAGAAGTCACAACCAAGACAACAGCAGGGAATAACCTCGTCATTGAAAACCTGCTAATTAAACCCTTGAGAAAAACAAAAAAGGTAATTAATATGACTAACCCTAACACACATAAACCAAGTACTATACATGCAAGCCAATCCCATCAAATCCAAGAAAAACCACAACCATGACAATAGAGACAACCTCGTTAGAGAAAAAAAGATGCAAAAGCATCCAAAAAAGAAAAAAATAATAATAATCGACATCTCCAAGGCAAATACATACAAAACTGAATAATCCTCCATTTTCGTGCAATCCTTAGCATCTCTGTCATCAGTAAATCCTCTTTCCTTGTAAGAGAAAACAGAATGAAATTAAACAAAATAAAGGCAAACAAGAAAACGAAAACATTCATGTACCCACCAGATGGCCAAAGATACTTTTCAAAAAACCAATAGCTCTGCATGTCGTTTGGACAATTTAGACAATCCCTGAATGAAGCACAATCCAAATAAGTACTCAAACCCTAAGAGAACCTTGAAGAGAAGAAATCCATATAAACGAAACACAGAGAGAGAAAGAAGAGGATAGGGAGATAGACCGAAGAGAGACACACGGAGGAGGAGAGAGAGAGGGATCTCGTTCCAGGTCTTTTCCCTCGAGACTTGGTGAAAAACAAAAGGAAAGATAGGGCGGGAGACGTTTTGGAAGTCTAAACGTCTCTGCGTTTCATTGGTTCTTTTGCAAATTACGTAAATTAAAAAAATAAGAAAAAAAAAAAACAGAAAATTAGGAAGGGATTTTTCTGCAAGGAGAGCTATTGCTGACATGGCAGGACTAGTTTTTATTATTACTAGCGGGGAGCTGTGAGATGCACGATAAAATATGAAAGATTTAATAATTTTATTTATTATTAATTAATATTAAATTAATAATCAAAATTTGTTGTTAATTAACTAAAAATATTCAAAGTTATTGTTAATATCTAAAATTTTAATAATTGTTATTTTCTTTTAATGTTGATTTATAGAAAATAACTACTTTTAATTTAATATGAACAAATATTTTTTAATAAATTTAATTTTATTAATAATTTATAGTAATTTTAATATTTATTATTATTTTTAAATGAGATTTTGATTAACTTTAAATAAATAAAAATAATTATAAAATCTTACATTTTTATTAAATTCACTCATAATTAACAAATATATAGGAATGACAACAGGGTGGGTTTAGGGCAAGGCACCCCATCTCTGCTCCTACCCCATAGTCAAGACACTCTAACCCATCCCCCGTCGTGTCCCTAGTGTCAGGTGGGTTCAAGGCAAGGCAACCACTCCTCAATGTCGAGTGATTTCAGGAGAAAGGCACCCCGCTCCTCATCAAAAATGGGGAATCTTTGAATTTCCCTGCCCTATCCTCAGTATTGGTCAGGCTCAATAATATTCAGTATTATTATCATTTAGTTGTGCATATTAGTCACTACAAAATTAATTCGCATCTACTTTCAGTAAAAATAAATTAAGTAATTGAATAAATACCATAGCTAATAAAAAATATAGCTAATTTTCAATAATTTATGGCTTATGTATTTTTTTTAATAATTTTGTTAGTTTTAATAATAAAACACTATTAATTATTGTTTTTAATTATTTTTAGTAAATACCATTATTATTTTTAGTATATTAATTATGTTTAGGTTTTTCAGAATATGTTGGATTTTTAATTAATTGTTGGTATTTTATAGCTATCAATTAATATTTTTATATTTAAATTTCTTATTTTTATTAGCGTTTATTAAGTTGGATTTTTAAGTGGAATTGAAACATATTTACTAAGTTTTGTTAACCTCAAAATATTTATATTATTTGATTTATATCATGGTTTTCAAAATCGGACCGGATCGGAAAAACTGGGAACCGATCAGGTGACTGGTTCCGTTTTACCCCAAAACCGTTATTTCAACAAAAACTATTGATTTTGTCAGCAAACCGCTAACCATTTGAACCGTATAACATTTTTGGCAATTTTTATTTATTTTTATTTTTTACTTTTTTTTGTCACAACGGGTCGTTCGTTCGGTTCGAACAGTTGGACCGTTTGACTCGGGAACCAAACCTCTGATCAGTCTGTTATCTAATTCAGTGTTAAAAACCTTGATTTATATTACTACTATTCTCTCTCTCTATCTATCTATCTATCTAATGGAGGGTGATTTGGCCCGACCACGCAGCACGAGTACACGTAAGCGTGACCTTGCCCAAACAGTGACTCAGCGTGACAACGCAACCGATGCAACCACAACTCGGAGGGAAGGCCCCACCGAGTTCAGCTCGGCAACTGGGCGGATAAACTACTCGCCGGAACCGCCTTACCTGCACCTCCTCCCCAGGGTTAAGGCACTTCGGGGCGCCCCGAGTTCAGGGTACCCTGACCTCTCTTGAGGCCCGAGCTCCTCCCAATGGACCTCGGGCCATTCCCAGACAGGAACGCACTGATCCATCTCTGGACACCCCGAGGCATAGACACCTCGGGTTAGCCAGCTCGGCATAACTTGCTACAAGCAACTCGTCACTCAAGAGACAGCCCGACGGAAGGTAATTCGTGGAAGGGTAGCTCAGCATACCACAGGAAGGCTTCCTGCTCGACCACCGTACCCGACAGATCTGGGACAACCGCCATGTCCCTTGTCAGATAGTGTCGTGCCTGCCACCTCTAGAAGGTGTCTTGTACCTGATAGGTACGTACCCTGCAGTGACGATCCCGCGCGTGCCACCTCAGCCCTGTCTGTAACGACTGTGGCAGGCTGACAGTGGCGGTTATACCTGCCCTGTCAGAGGCCAGGAGGCCTGGTGCAACAGAACTCTGTTATAAGGAGCCTATTCTCAGAAAACGGGTATCTTGAAATCTCTTGCGCTATCTCACTCTTAGCCTTTATCCTCTCTTTGCTTCTTGCACAGAATACTGACTTAATCGTCGGAGCGTTCCCGCCGGGCAAACCCCCCCTGGGGATTCTTCTTCTTCCTCATTTCAGGTACCTCTTGGGAAGCCATGCGAGTTCCAGCTAGGAGTGACCGGATTGCGCACCATCATTTGGTGCTGTCTGTGGGAAATGCTTCAAAAGGCCTTTCTCTAAACCTTCATAGTTCTTTCTTACTTGAAAAAACTCAACACTCATGGGTTCCTCAAGCAACGTTGGACAAAGCATGGAGATGGATAACTCCAGGGAACAACCCCAGGGCAGTTCACCAATCCTCTCTCGGTGGACGAAGTCCCCAGCCTGAACACGCGGCGAGCAACGGTGCTTGTGGGTGTTCCCCTTCCTTCCTCTGAAGAAACGACCTTTGCTGAACCGACCGTCGTTCCTCTGGCAACCGGCCAGAGCCAACTCGATGACCTGATGCAATGCATGCGGGCCATGCAAGCCCAACTGCAGCAGCTCCGGCAACACCAGCTCTATCAGTAGCAAGTGTTGCACCACGTCTCCCAGTACCACTACCAGCAGCAGTTCCCCTAGCTACCTCAACCTCAGCTTCAGTAGCCGCAACTCCCACCTCGGCACCCAACCTCATAGCGAGCTAGGTCTCGCCGCTAAGACGAACGCCCCTCTTGCCAAGGAGAAGCCCCCCAAAACCCTCCTAAAAGCCAGGCCTCCTCCCGCAGTAGACAAGAGAGACCGGCTACACCAGTCTCACCGCGGGCGGTCAGGTCGGGAGGACCCCAACTCGCTAGGTCTACACCACCTCGGCAGTCAAAATTTGAAACCCCGCTCCTTGAGAACCAGTTCGAGATCCTGGCTGCAGACTCCAAGCAGGATCCCTCTGTCCACAGTCATCACCAGCGGCCCGAGCTACTTCCTGCACAAACCATTTCGGACAACACAGAGGTGAGCAGCACAAATGCCAAGCTCACCAAGAAGCAGAGATGCCGCCGCCAAGCTCGCCGATCTGTCACCCGCGATTTTCCCGAGCTCGGGGGCAAAGAAGAGGTAAGCTTGGCCGAAGTCAAAGCTCCTCTCCTCTCTGTTCCATCCCCCCTGTCTTCCGAACTCCTAGCAGTCCCAATGCCTAAAGACTTCAAACTCCCCCCTCATGATAAGTATGACGGGTTGTTTGACCCAAATGATCACATAGATGCCTTCAAGTCGCAGATGCACCTGGCAAGAGCCAGTGAGTCGTGCATGTCCGTGGCCTTCTCCACCACTTTCAGAGGAGTAGCTCGTACATGGTACCGGAACTAGACACCTGGATCGATAAGAAGCTGGGCGCAGTTCGCGCAAGCCTTTGCATCCCACTTCGTCACCAGCAAGCGGTGCCCGCGAACTGAACAAAGCCTCCTCAACATAGTGCAGAGAGAGGGAGAGTCCATCCGGGGCTATATCAAGCGGTTCAACGATGCATGCATGCAGATACCGCGCCTGGACTCCGCCGTGCGCCTTGCAGCAGCCAAGAAAGACGTGACGCATAAAGAGTTCAAATGGCACATGGTCGTCAACCAACCGGCGACCATAACCGAGTTTCTTAAGCTCGCGGACAGATTTATAGCCACGGAGGAAGAGATCAACCAGAAGGGCAAGGGCGCGCTCGAGAAGAGGAAAAGAGAAGGAGAGCGCTCCAGCCAAGGGGACAGTCGAAAGAAAAAAGATGCAGTTCGGGGGGCAAAGCCGGGTCAGTCACTCCGAGCTCCTGTGGCGGATCGAACTGATTACACCCCAATGAACGCGAAGCGGGCCGAAATCCTGATGCCGATCAAGGGCGCCCCGTACGTGAAATGGCCACCCTGTCTAAGGGGGAATCCAATGAGAGAAATAAGAATCTGTATTGCAGTTTTCACAGAGATCACGGTCACAGTACCGAAAGTTGTAAAAACCTCCGCGACGAGATAGAGGAGCTCATCCGTCGCGGATATTTGAGAAACTTTGTACAAAATAATAACAACAAAAGTAATTGATGGTGCGCAATCCAGCCGGTCCTAGCTGTCAATGATCCTGCCTCTGGCTGGAGCAAAAGGTGCCTGAAACGGAGGAGAAAAAGAGTAATCTCCGGGGAATAACCCGATGATAGTGCTCTGAAGCTCAAGTTAGTATTTCCTCAAAGGCAAGATAAAAAACCAGATGGCGCAAAGTTATCACATACCTCTCTTCTTGGAGGGAAGGGGGGCTTTTATAATCACTTCGCGCACTCACTCCCAAGCTCCTGTTAGGTCGGGTATCATTACCTCTGCACTTCTGCCAGTTCAGGTGTCATCACCTCTACAGGGGCAGAACCACCACTACTCTCCTTGTCGGAGCCGTCTCTATAACTGGAGGTGGCCGGTGAAGTGCGGCTGTCAAGCGTCAGATCCAAAGTCAGTCAGGTGCGCCACCTCAGGATACGAACTCCTTTGGTGTTAGGTACGGTACGGTTGCTCAGTTCGGCGTCCTGGAGACGAAGTGCTGGAGTGGTGTGCGAGGTGAAGTCTTGAGTTCGAATAGAGGTGTGGCCCGAACTGCCATAGGGCGGGCCAGTTCGGGTTGTTGCCCTTTTCACTCCTCGTAAGGCTCGGGGTCAAAGGAGAGTTCGGGCACCTTTCGGGGAGCTCAGACCGCTGGTTCCTCCTTTCGGAGCTCGCGCCCTGGGCGTACTGTCGTGCCGAGCTGTTGCCTCTGCCACGTGTTGAGTGGTTACGAGGTCGGGCAAAATCTTCCTTCATCAATTGCCCCCCACTCCT